ACCTCCCCGCGTCGTGCCGGGGAGGGGCAAGGGAATGAGGAGGCGGGAGAGAGAGAAGGAGCGCCGGTGTGGGGGGGGATTTTGAACGGAAATCTATTACTTTTGGGTTACGGGGAGTGAAGAGCCAGTCTTTCTCCCGCTTCAAAACTGCGGAAAATTTTTCCTACAAAATTAGGCAATTTGGACCTTTGCATGCAAAATGAGATAATTATTAAAATAGAATAATTTTTTATTAGTAGGATAAATAGGAACAATTTGTAAAGCGGAATATTTTAATAAAATAATGTGGGATAAATTTTTATAATCACGAAATATATATTTATACATTTTGAAGATATAAATAATATTTATGTATTTTAAACTTACTATTATTGATTGATAATTGCTTATAAGAATATTCTTTACTATTAAATAACTTTTGGTTAGACTATAAGATATTGACAATTATTATTATAATAATGATCTAATGACGGTGATAACCATAATAGGAAAGAAGTAAAGAAATATAAAAAATAAAAAATAATAAAATAAATATGAGTTCTAGTTTTTTACCACCTAGTTCCAAGCTAAAACTTGGAATAATTTGAGAGACTAGAACTCTCATTTTTTTATAGAAAAATAAAAAAAAAGATAATTTTGTATCATTATCCCAATTCTGGTTTTGTTGGAGTTCTATTTGACTAACACGTTAAAATTTTATTCTAGTTTTAGTTCTATGTGACTAACACATTAAAAATTTATCCCACATATTATCCCAGTTCTAATTTTAAGTTCTAGACGACTAACCCCACTTAGCTAACGCTTTCACATTCTCTCACTTTTTTTTTCTTTTTTGCAAACCAAACAAATGATTGTGAAAGAAAATGTAAAAAAAACCAATGTCAGTTTTTTAGGGACGATTTTCTGTGTTTTTTTTATCCAACCAAACATCCACTAAAATGAATGTGAAATTTTCGGATTCAAAGTAGCCTTCTCGCATAATATATCCGACTACCACTAAGTAATCTATATACTATATCTAAAAACAGTTACCTCTGAAAACGCCACTTGGCAAAGAATACCCATCCCATTGATACCTCTGAAAACGCCACTTGGCAAAGAATACCCATCCCATTGAAGCTGCCACCTGGCGTCCCATTGAAGTTCTTCTCTCCGCCATTTCAATTAAAGAATACCCATCCCATTGAAGCTGCCACCTGGCGTCCCATTGAAGTTCTTCTCTCCGCCATTTCAATTACCAAAATACTCTGTCGCTTCGTTCTTAGCTCTGCCCCCTCAGTTCCCAAAGCTCCGCCGCTGCATTCTTAGCTCCGCCGCTTCATTCTTAGCTGTCGTTCTTTCCCCCGTTCTTCATTTCCCAAGATCGGCTTCGTCTGTTCGACTCCCCAAGTCGTCTGTTCGACTTCGTCGCCTAGAGAAATCGTGATCTTCCTCGATCACCCAAGCATCTCCGAAGGATGCTACGCATATATAGAAAGCCTCAGATTCTCATCCCCACCTCCCTTATTCCCACAGGAGACTATCGACAAAACCCTTGGCGAAGACTGAAATTGGTCGACGGCGTCACTGGAGGAGAAGGTCGTCAACGTCACTGGCGGTCGACAGGTCAGTTTACTGAACCCCTAAAAAATTGTTACCGATTTTGTTAAATTTACTTTCATCGAAATTTTAATCATATATTGTGAAATTTGATAAAGCTGAGCCTTTTGGTACTCAATATGACATACCTTAAGGATGAAAATTTGATTGTGACAATTTGGTTATAGTAAGCGTGAGCAATTACCGACAATGTTTGTATGAATCTACATCAGTTCTGCACTGGCTGGTTCACTTTGTTCCTGTTATTCACTTTTCAGTACTCATTGTGTTTTCAAGCATGCTGTCCAGATGTATACTATGAGTAGATCCTATGCATATAAGCAGTGGCTAACTACCTTTTATGTATGGATATCAGTTGCATTTTGATTTATAATAGACGACTACCAAGGAGCTGTTCTATATATTACTCCATTGCAGTTATTCTATCTCTCATTCTTGCCTTCTTTTTTTGGGGTAAAATTTTTCATGAATCAGAGTTAATCCTTAAATTGGAGTCTAGGCTGACTGTTCAAGAAAATTTCAACATGCTGGTAAGTAAAATGTCATACGGTTTGAGGTTTGTATTACAAGGTCCTGGGAATCAATAAATTACCATAAATTATTCGTGGCCATGAAGAAGGAAATAAAGGGCTTCATCCTGCAGTCGGCAGGCTTCACATTATGACACATGGCCTTCATGAAGGAAAATGCCAAGTATATTTATCATCACAAGGGTCAAATATCACTGCTCAAATTTAGGAAATAGAGGAAGAATGGATCATAAATCTTTGTTGAAACTGACTGTAGAGAAGCCAAATCATTGGTGATTGTTTGGAAATACTAGAAGAATATTTATGCACTCTTTGCCTATGGAAATTTGGTATGAAGAAATACCTTCACAGTATGCATGTGTTTATTGTTTAGCTATGACTAATAAAGTATCCAGTGCCACCTGGGATTTGTATGCATGGTCTTTATTGAAAATTTACAATGCCTTTTTACTTATGCTTGCTTTCTGGATGGTTGTAAGTTCTCTGTAAATACAGGATATATATTTCTTTATTGACCAAATAGCAATTAAACATGTTCCATTTATTCAGATACTCACAATTGAAAACATTTATGCTTCTGCTTCTCTCTCTGAAATAACCATCTTCTCATCTGCCCCCTCCTGCCATATCCAGACTCTAAATTGATCGTTGTTGACTGTTTTGGAAATACTAGAAGATATTGTTGCTCTCTTTGCGCATGTAAATTTGCTATGAATAAATACCTTTCTCTTTATTCAGACTCTAAATTAATCATTGGTGATTGTTTGGAAATATTAGAAGAATATTTATGCACTCTTTGCCTATGGAAATTTGGTATGAAGAAATACCTTCATACCAAGCATGTGTTTATTGTTTAACTATGACTAATAAAGTATCCAGAGCCACCTGGGATTTGTATGCATGGTCTGTATTGAAAAGTTACAATGCCTTTTTACTTATGCTTGCTTTCTGGATGGTTGTAAGTTCTCTGTATTCTTACTGTTGACAGAGTGAAAAACAAGTCTTAGGTCTGCTGTCCAGACTATCTCTAAATCGCAAATGGGCATGCTTGAAAATTAACCTGGACGTTATTGCATAATTGATAACATTAACTGAGTTGATTATTGTGATATTTAAACATGTTGTTGATATGCAGAAGGAGTGAAATTTGTTTTTTTGGTGGGAATTTCTTATTAGTTATTGTGAAATATCCTATATTTGCTTTGATTTATTTTGTGTTAATATCTGTAAACTAAAGTGATTACACTCATAAAGGACCTTACGGATCTCAGAGGAATTTGTTTAATATACAAAAATTAATGAGCATGCGGCAAACCTTTACTCTTTACTGAAATTGATTCATAATTGCTTTGATTTATTTGATTGGTACTCACTGTTATTAAACTTTAGTAGTAATTAAATGTCATTCCCAGGTATGTTGATGTATAAATACTGAAAACATAACCTCATAATAAAAATGCAGTGTACTATAAGTTACCAAAGATTCAATGCAACATGGTGTCACTGTTATGTACCAATGTCCTTACCCTCATATGCAAAAAGACCATGGTTATTGTAATCACTCCAACAAGATCAGTAAGTTCTGAAGTGAAACTTTCCAAGATCAGTTAAGATGCAGAGTTAGCAGGTAACGAAAATAAGGCCATTTCTCTAAATCGTAAATACAGGTTATGTATTTCTTTATTGACCAAATAGCAATTAAACATGTTCCATTTACATATATTAGGTTCTTATATATCACATTAACAAAATTCCTAGAATCAGTGCTGTAAATAGGATGTGCACAAATCTGTACCATTTTCTATGTACACAAACCTGTACCATTGCTAATAAGTTATATATGCTATGTATAGGATGTGCATTAAAGTTTATGAGTACATTGATTGAAATATGCACGCAAATGGGCATGCTTGAAAATTAATCTGGACGTTATTGCATAATTGATAACATTAACTGAGTTGATTATTGTGATATTTAAACATGTTGTTGATATGCAGCAGGAGTGAAATTTGTTTTTTTTTGTGGGAATTTCTTATTAGTACTCACTGTTATTAAACATGTTATTTAAACATGTTGTTGATATTTAAACATGTTATTTAAACATGTTGTTGATATTTAAACATAATTGCTTTGATTTATTTGATTGGTACTCACTGTTATTAAACTTTATCATGCAGTCTAATTCCCACTATTTTGTTATCATCGAGCAGGTATTAATCTTGAACACTCACAGCAATGTTTTGTCTTTGTTTTTTTTCATGCGTAGTTGTGCAACGTTTTGTCTTTGTTTTTTTTGTTGTGAGAGACTTAATCTATATACTATTAGTAATAAGTGTTACTCTTGGTTATGCCTCCTGCAAAAATGCCACTTGGCAAAATTAACCCATACAATTATACACGCCACCTGGCCTCAACACATTAAATCTCCGCTTCGAACTTCTCTCCACCACTTACATTCCAACGACGAGCTGCTTCGTCTTCCCCCAATTCTTCCATTTCACCGTTCCTCTCTTCTACCTCCTTACACAGAAGAAAATTGTTCTGTCTCCGCTCTCTTTCCCAAAATCAACTTTCACCCAAACCCATTATTCTCCCGTTCTTCGTTACCCGCGATCTCCGCTCTCTTTCCCAAAATCAACTTTCACCCAAACCCATTATTCTCCCGTTCTTCGTTACCCGCGATTGACGCTTCGTTACCCGCGATCGACGCCTTGAGAACCCAATCGTCGCCGAAGGATATTACGAATAAATATAATGGCTCAGATCCTCATTCCCACATCCCTAATTTCCAAATCAAACCATCGTCTAATCCCCCGGCGACGACTGATCCCTACGCTGCGAAAAGCGTTTGGCGTCACTGGAGACGAAGGTCGTCGGTCGTCGGCGTCCCTGTAAGTGATCCATATGTTCAGATTAATGCTAATATTCCTACCTATAATGTTCAATCTTTAACACAAGAACTTTATAATGTTCGATCTTATTTCTCAATACTGGAATTTTTAGTTGAAGTTCAACTATTTTAGATAGAGATTACAACTTGAGGGGATGGGCATAAAGAAAATCCAGGAGAAAGTTTTAGAAATGAATGGTCTGATTTTGATGGGAGTGAACGTGTGACAGAATTCCCCAGTGAGTTGTAGCTATAATAGAATTTATACTTTTATTGATTTTGTCATGTTGTTTGTGAAACTGTTATGCTATTAAATGTTCTCAAGGTGAAGGGATTTTCTTACTTAATGTTTTCTTTCTTTACATGTCAGTATTACCACGTTTTCATGTTTTTAAAAATGATATTTTGATGTCAAACTTGTGCAATAACATTGGAATTAATCTTGAGATGCATATTAAACCGAGATTAAAAAAAAGACTGGTGGGTGTCTATTTAACCAGTTTATATGCACGTTGTGCATATGTGACACATTATTATGTTTATAGAACAATAAATATAAGGTTCATGGATTCTCATTTAGCCTTGAAGCTGTAAATTTTCAGTTTACTTATCTGATTTTCTGTGAAATGAATCATATCATCAATTTGATGCTGTTTTGAGAAAGAAAAAAAAGAAGAATTAAGAAAGAAGGTGCTCTTTTTGTTATTATATTTGTGGCACAAGGCTTTGTCATTTCCATCATTTAACTTCTATCATTCCTAACATGTTTCTTAGTACTTAATATGCATTGTGCCCTGATTTACTTTAGTCAGTTATGACAATGTATCTGAATACCTCCAATGTCGTGTGCTGAAGTTATGTGCTGAAGTTATGTTGTCGGAGTTATGTGCTGAAGTTATGTTGTCAGGAGTAATGTGCTGAAGTTATTCTGTTGCATGGGTAGTAAAGAGTTTGGAATGACTTTCATTCTTGATTATGCTATATATGTGTAGCGATTTCTCCATGCTACTTGCTTAAACCTCCATAGCTTTTGAATATTAATTTGATAGCAGTCATTTAGTTTTTGTGTACTGTCAGAAGTTGATATCATCTTAATCCTCTACCTCCCAAATCAAATATCAGGGCATGCTATGCAGCTAACTGGCTAATCACACGATTGGTCCATTTACCACAATCCACATATATTTGTTTCTGGAAAAATCGTTGAATTCACACAAGACATTGGATTTTGTGCATCTCTAATATTCTGCATTCATGTAATCATGTCTGTGACTATGTTTTCACATGGATGTGTCTAACCCCTGTGTTTTTGGGGGAGTCTCATGCAAATATCTCATGTTTAGCTAAACCAAGACCACTAAACCAACTTACATTAAATCAAGTAGTCCCTACATGGTTAATCAGAACTAAGCTACCAACATTATAAGTATAAACATATAAAGCATGAGACATTGGATTTTGAGGATTTCTAATTTTCTAAAGTTTTCATGTACTCATGTCTGTGATTCTGTTTTCACATGGATGCTAACTCCTATATTTCTGAGAGAGCTTCATGGAAATATCTCATGTTTAGCTAAACCAAGACTATTAAACCAGCTTACATTAGATCAAGCAGTCTCTATGTAGGTAATCAAAACTAAGCTTCCAACATTATAAGCATAAACATACAAAGCAGTAACAGCCTATAGATAATAGCCAACAACTGCATTTAGCTATCATGATTAGAGCACAGTTATATGTGCCATCTGTATGCATATAGGTGAATCATATTCTGAATTCAACTGCAAAAGGCTCATCCATCTCACTGTTTCACATAGTTTTCCATATTAGTCAACTGCCATTCATTTCTTAAGGTGAAGTATAATTAATATAGTTGTTATTATGAAGTTACTTGAAAATATCCCCTCACTGTCCACTTCCATACAAGCTCACACCTGGACATATAAAACAACAAAACAACACTTCAACAAAATAGACAACCTACTTAAATCATATCACTTTTGGTTAACTTTCCATAGTAATGTGCAGAAGTTATGTTGTCAGGAGTAATTCTTACAAGTTGCTACATTCAGGCCACTGTAGAATCATATCACTTTTCATAGTAATGTGCTTTTGGTTAACTTTCCATAGTAATGTGCTGAAGTTATGTGCCAAAAGGACTTGAACAAACCAGGGTGTAGGAAATAACTTATTATTGATCATACGTTGTCTTATTTTTTACACTGTATTCTTTTTTTTTATTCTTTTACTACATCAATTTATGCATTTCACTATGTAGAAACTTGGAGCCATCCCTTCCCCATCTAGGATTCTAATCACAAATACTAACATACATTTTTTTTTATTTTTTAGTGATGGCGATTGTGAAACGAACAGCAAGAAAAAGAACATTATCATTCTGGGGAAGGGATGGTCATCAAATTAGGCTCGCATTCCCCTATCGCAAACCTTCCAAGCTAGAGTATATGACACATAAGTTCAAAAGAAATGATAAAAATCTGATAGCAGCTTTCAAAGACAACTTAGATTTGAACCAGGTACATTACATATTTTCTTCTTTTATAAATCTACATATGTATTCATTTCATGTATCACTCTGCATATATAAATAAAGTTGAGCAATGTATTAGTATTATTTTTTTCATTCTAAATCATTAGGAGTCAACATGTCAAGAATATTTCACTAATGAAGCTGAATCTTCCAAAAAGAAAGTTCATCTTGATAATGTAAGTCAACACACTTAGTATAACTTCTCTTTTTCATTCCTAATGTTTGTATTTTTTTTAATTATTTTTTGGAATAAAATGAAAAGTAACTATTGACGTCACACAATACGCTTTATATGTACAACCTCCATCCAGGCTGAAGTATGATCATAACTAATACTAACACCTCAATACCTATCTTCATAATTAAGGGGACATCCGGACAAGTTAAATTTCTCGAAAACCTAATTTTTGTTGTATATTTCACAATACTTATTTCAGAAGATACACTTTTGAAGTTTCTACTTATTACACGGTTATCACTTTGAATTTTGTTTTACTATTCCTCTATTGATTCTTCACAATAACAGTTCCAGAAACTTTTCTTTATATCTTATAATTATACTAACTAAATAGATAAAATAAACATGCCTTTATTTTCCCAAAATGTGTAGAATATGAATTTAATGTTAGATTTTTTAAAAGAATGCATTATATATTGTTAGATTCTTATCTAACATATGAGTACAATGAATTTTAACAATACAAGATTTTTTAACCATTTGAGTTTTAGAAGTTTTCACATCAAATAAAAGATTGAAGTTTAGTTAACATTATTTGTGTCTTATGTTCTATTTGTCATTGACCCATTATCAAATTATTAAAGCTTCTAATTAACTTTTGACACTTTGCATAAAAATTTCTGTATTGCCTACTTTTCAACTTACTTATGATTTCTTAATTCTTCACATTAATTGTAGAACAATCTATTCCTACCACCTCATTAACATGCTAACTATTATTATATTTTATAATAATGAAACACAGGTCTCTTTATCTGTCACTTGTGACAATACAGAAGTTGAAATTTGTTCCTCGGATAACATTACACCTTGCAAGAGAAATTTGTTCGAATCTGATGTCGAGCAATCTGTTTCAGTGGACTTGATCTCTCCGCAAATGTCAAGCAACAAAAGGGAAAAACTTATCAAAATTGAAAAAGATAATTACTAGATTCTACGTAGAGTAGAAGCTACATTTTGAAGGGAAAAACCTATCTGATTTTTGATGTATGAAACTTATATTTAGTATTCTTGTATGAACACATATTTAGTAAGCTTTTGTAATCAGTGCAGATTATTTTGGTGGTTTTGGGTTGGTAAACCTAAATATTTGATATGATTATGTTATGCTGGATATTTGGTTTATCAATATATTGATAGTTATTATTTTCATTCAAATATATATAATTGACATGTATCTCTATGTGCTTTGAATATTTTGTTTGGAACAAAAAATTATACTTCATACTAATTACTTGCTATAAAAAATTATTATGACATTAATCATAAAGACATTAGGCATTTTAAGCAGTTTGTTATGAGAATATGAGAATTATATTTTCATTCTTTTTAACAGTTTAATATTAAGTCAAACATATATGCAGTTTAGGTTGTATCATTTCTGACTACTTACATATTATTACCGTTTTATTTTGTATTATTTTGCTACATCAATTTTTGTATTTTAGAGAAATCCGTGCATCGCACGGGCTTGAAACTAGTGTAAATTATTTTCATGACATTATTTAAACATTTTTCCTTTCTCACGGAGTCGCTGTAACATTCACGCCCTGCCTAAAAATTCCCCACCGAACACAGCTTTTGTTTGACGTTTGAATCCAAAAAGGCCACCCTAGAAAGCAGCCTAAGCCCGCAATTGCCTCGATACAAAGGCAAGCTCTTGGATCCCATCAGCCCATCACATCACACAGCCAAATCCCTTCCAACAGCAACTCACACTGTCACACGCTACGGCTAATTAAAATACTCACAAAGGGTAAATTCCATAAAACCCCCCTCTATCTCATTATCACAAAAAAATCATGAACTTTAAAATAGACCACTTTTAAATTTTAATTAACAAAATAGGCCGAAAAATATTTAATTAACAAAAAAACCTTTAAAACTTAATTAGCAAAAGAGACCAACTTTTAGTCAAAGTTGACCTATTTTGCTAATTAAATATTTTCTTGGTTTATTTTTCTAATTGAATATTTTCTTGTCTTATTTTAAAAAAA